CTTATTTGCTTTTAAACTGAAGTGATTAACACTACATTACGTAGGATGCCAGACCATACTGAGTGTCTTAAAAGCAAGTGATAAGCTTAAACCAACCCAAGAGAAGATGCTTCCCCTGCAGCACTCCTAACAGTCATCAAGCATCTCTGCTCAGCTGACATGGGCCTGGTCTTCTGGGCTGCACTGTGGTATTTCTAACCAACCCAGTAACTACAGCAAACAAGAGAACAAAGCAGCACACTTTGAAGGGCAACCAGAGCTCATTTTCTACCTCACCAGCAGAATTCTGGGCCACTGAATCATGCACTCACAGCTTCTACCTGTAACTCCTGTAAGCCGTATCTATAATGAAGCTGCACACTATGGAAGAGTTCCAATGGGTACAAAACCTAGCAGAGTCCACCCTCCAGATTCTCTCCTGAAACCTCTGATGGCTATTTCAGGTTCTTAAATACAAGTTACAGTACTTTTAGTTAAGGAATTATCCAAGAACTACCTCACCAACCAAGCACAGAAACATAACCTACAATACCTAGACAGCTCACAGGGTTGCAAGTCCCTCACAGCCACAGACCACACCACAAAATTCTAAGTGCTTGTATATCAAATTAAAACCTGAAACAACAACAGTTCACCCTGCATTAATCAGGGGGAGCAAAGCAGCAGTCTACTTATATGGGAAAATCCTTCCCATGTGCCATGGCCAAAAGTAGTCGCAGCACTTGTCATGCAGAAAAATAAAGCAAGAAATAGGCATACTGTCCTCATCACTTCTCTTGGTCTCCACTGTTTCAAACTACTTAATTTCCTTTCTGTGCTCAAGTACCAACATTTTCCCACCCAGCATTAGACAACACCCCAGCTGCTTTAAGCTCCATCCTACAAGGAGCTTCTCCTTCCACTATTTATATTTTTAACCGAAACACTTCTTTTTCTTCTGTTTTGTTACCCTCCTACCCAAAAAAAATGTCTTACAGATCATGACAGCAAAAGTCTGATTTGCAAATCTTTATTGGTTTTTCAGACAGAGAAAGCAATGTGTTTCTGAGAAAAAGGCAATCCCTACAGAGAGAGATGGCTTCAATCCCCAGCACTTTACCCAGGAATTAACAGGAATACAAAGAAACACTGAGGTCATGAGTATAACGAGCTTTCCCACCATATGAACATCATAATCTATCTATCAAATTACATGCTAAAATTATTTAAATTCCCTCCTGTCCTGTTGAAAGACGGCTTTGAAATCCGCCATCCAAGGAGCGGAAAAACGAGTCTCTGGCCTGATTACTGACTAAATGTACAAAGTATGATTTCCATACTTTTTTGTTCTTGTGATACTGTATTTGACTTAAACAGTTCAAATACTCACTCTTGCTTTCTCTATTAGTGGGGGCAGTATCGCCATAAACCCCACCACACACACAATAATTTGCAAATACTATAGAATCATAGAAGAGTTAGAGGTGGAAAAGACCTTAAGATCATCTAGTTCCAACCCCCCCTGCCATGGACAGGGACACCTCACAGTAAACCATGTCACCCAAGGCTCTGTCCAACCTGGCCTTGAACACCAGGAATGGAGCATTCACAGCTTCCTTGAGCAACCCATTCCAGTGCCTCACCGCCCTTACAGTAAAGAACTTCCTCCTTATAGCCAATCTAAACTTCCCCTGTTTAAGTTTTAACCCGTTACTCCTTGTCCTATCACTACAGTCCCTAATGAATAGTTCCTCCCAAGCATCCTTGTAGGCCCCCTTCAGATACTGGAAGGCTTCTACAAGGTCTCCACACAGCCTTCTCTTCTCCAGGCTGAACAGCCCCAACTTTCTCAGCCTGTCTTTACATGGGAGGTGCTGATCATCCTCGAGGCCCTCCTCTGGACTTGTTCCAACAGTTCCATGTCCTTTTTATGTTGAGGACACCAGAACTGTGCCCAATACTCCAAGTGAGGTCTCACAAGAGCAGAGTAGAGGGGCAGGATCAGCTCCTGGTGATCCACCTGCTCATCACGCTCCTTTTGATGCGGCCCAGGATACGGTTGGCTTTCTGGGCTGTGAGTGCACACTGAAGCTGGCTCATACTCATTTTCTCATCGACCAGCACCCCCGAGTCCTTCTCCGCAGGGCTGCTCTGAATCTCTTCTCTGCCCAGCCTGTAGCTGTGTCTGGGATGGCTCTGACCCAGGTGTAGGACCTTGCATTTAGCATGGTTAAACTTCATAAGGTTGGCATCAGCCCACCTTACAAGCTTACCAAGGTCCCTCTGGATGGCATTCCTTCCCTCCAGCGTATCAACCGAACCACACAGCTTGGTGTCATCAGCAAACTTGCTGAGGGTGCACTCAATCCCACTGTTCGTGTCACCAACAAAGATGTTGAACAAGACCGGTCCCAACACCGATCCCTGAGGGACACCACTCATTACTGGTCTCCAGCTGAACATCAAGCCATTGACCACAACTCTTTGCATGCGGCCATCCAGCCAGTTCTTTATCCACCAAGTGGTCCATCTATCAAACTGATGTCTCACCAATTTAGAGACATGTATGTCATGCAGGACAGTGGCAAACACTTTGAACAAGTACAGGTAGACTATAAATCAACCTATAAACCAATCACTGTAATTAGACAGAAATGTTAAACCGAGTTAATTTACAGCTGTTCACCCTTTCTTCTGATATCCTTCATCCCCCTTGTATTTAATTTAGATATTTCATTAGACAGTCTACCAAACACAGCTTGAGCCTAATACTGAACTATATCCATGGTTTTCTTTCCCACCTTAGTCAAACACTAAAGAGGAAAGGATTTGAAAATGGTTTCCTTATTACAAGACTGGACATAGACCTGCACATACAAACAGGTACCTGCTCAAAAAATAGCTACACGTTAGGTGGTTACTTAGGCGTGTCAAGGAAGTAGCCTAGTTTTATACACTGGAATAAAGATTGAGGCCTGATAGTACACATACACAAATCTAATCCCAGAGGAGAGGCATGCATTCAGTAACATTTCGAAATCAGAATCAATCCTTGGTTTGAGAAACACGTTGCCAAGTAAAGAAAAGGGCAGCACAGCTCAAGACTTTGTACCTGGAGAGAGCAGAGAAACGAAAACCCGGGCGGGCTCCATCAGCAGTCAGCAGTACTGGAGATAACTTGGAGCAAGTGCATCTGGCATCTGGAAACCCCTTTGAGAGTTACTTGAGAACCTGGCTCAAAGTTATGTCGGGATACAGAATGCTTTTAGAAGCAATACCCTGATACTGTAAGAGTTTTTATTTCAAATTGTTTATTCCTTACATAATAACAACTGTTTTCTAAAGTAATGCTTTTTGGAAGAAATAGACTGCATCTACATTAGCAAGATCTGTGGCACAGCTGCAGCAGACCCCTAGAACAAATGGCTGTTGCGGAAACAACAGTCTTCACCATGTCCATGCACTTTGCATCATTTACCCTCAAGCAGATACAGCCTGGACCCACAAATACTCATGGAGCAACTCAAGAGCACAAGGCCTTCCTTCTTTCTCTCAGCCACAAATTTTTATTTTGTGTTAGTTTCCCTCTTTACCCAGCACTTGGCTTGTTGGCTGTCTTCCACCCTCCTGAGCATGCCCATAAGGAAGGGAACAGGCAGGTGCCCAGGTCAATCATGGGCACAGCTATCCTTACCCTTCTGGAGGCAGAGGGCTGCAGTCCAGCTCACACCCATGAGCTCCCATCAGATGCAGTGGGCACACCCACACTGATAAAGCTAATCCCGGAAAAATGCAGGCTCACACTACAGCCAAAGGCCAAACAACATACAGTAAATTAACTGACTTATACAACTAGGCTATCAGACCTCAGGTTGAAACTATGTGCAGCATAGGCCTGTATATTTTAGAAAAAGTAAAATAATTATCCAAGTCCTACAGCATGTAAACAAGCACTCCCATAAAAGTAAGCTGTTGCTTAACAGAGCTACTTGCAAATGCAAACCCTTCTTTTGAAACCCTTGGGATATTTCCATGTGAAAGTAGAAAGTAACTATTGCAAACTGACTGTGGAAAAGGAGCGTTTCTTTTAAATATTTGCTAAAGCTTCCAGAGACTTGTGTGAAGACAAAGGAGGGAGCAGAAAGGAACCTGCATGAGCTTTCATTTGGAAGTGGTTTGCTTTAATGGCCACTGAACCTACCACATCCATCCAGCTTTCCAAATTTCTGTTAGTAACAAATTACCAGGTAAAAAAAGATCTCCTGAGATAATATTACATTATGTAAAACAGGCCTAGGTCACAAAGTTATTATTACTATGCTCCTGCACATGCATACATATACACACACATAATTAAGCAAAACCAAGTGTATACCCATATATATACAAAGTTACACTGTAAGTTGGACAGAAGGTGTGTGTAGAATTTTTCATGTGTGTCTATTCAAAACTTTCATCCAAAGTTAAACTAAATAAAATTGGTAACATCTGACATTAATTATATTCTAATTATTGCTATTTTAGAAGAGACAATACTGGATTTTGCCTTAGCTATCAACCCTTAGGGATCTTGAAATATCAGACTGCATCTTTACTAAATGACTGTTAGTCCGTGCTCATCACTTGAGGAACCATACCTATGAATAAGTGAGAAAAGGTGATTAATGTCAATTAAAAATACACCACGCTCTGAACAGCTGGGTTTCCAAGCTTTATTCTTATCCATGGTCAGATCACGTCACAAATGGATTTCAGAATCTTGAGGCCAAACTGTATGTGATTACCTGGGCAAACCGCTCAGGCAGCAAACCTGGATGGAAACCATGCTGCACGCTAGCAGTCATGGCTCAAAGAGATCCGAGTGCAGAAGCAGACTGCAAACACGGAGAATGAAAACAAGATACACAGAGAAGTCTAGGCATGACCGCAAGGACCACTAAAAGACAAATGCAAGAGTCTGCAGCAGTAACAGACTCGTGCAACTGCAGTGCTCCAGGCCTTCAATAGAAAGCAGTTCTTACCTCTGCAGCTGTCCTGTGAGTAGCTGGGAATCCACTGCAACTGAGCAAGGGTGGAGATGTGTTCCTGTAGCCACTCTTGATACAGTTCAATGCCTTTGCCTGTCAAGAAAGCCCTGCACAGCTGCAACAGGTACAGCTCCCTGAGATGCAGGCCTCTCACCACAGATGACAGACGAGGGCACATAGCAAGGAGCAGGGTAGAGTGAAAAAATCCAGCTCTCAGAGTGGAGGGAACCCTTGCTTCCCAGCAACAGGTGGAAAGGAGCTCTCTTTCAATACACCTGTACTACCAGTTTACAGTAAACAGCAGAGTAAGTTCCACAGGTAATAAGTGGCTGCTTTAAACTCACAGTCTCCACATATACACGTTTGTATCTTTTCCTATAGTTATGGTTTTTTAGATGCTTACTGAAGTGGTAAGAATGCAACAAAGTTTAGGGCTTACTTGTTAAGACTGCTATGGTCTCATCCAGAAATTATCCCCTTAATAAGTTCAATGTGAGAAGTAACTGTCGTCATTTTCCAAAGTTCAGACTAACTACAGCTACGCTATTCCTTGTCCAGAATTCACTTTTTCTTTTTTTAATAACAGGAGACACTGTAATCTACCAGGTCTAAGAAATAAAATCTAGCTGATGAGTTCTGCAAACCTGTTTGTTATATGTAGATACCCACAAAGGTGCAAATAGACACCGGGGCTGTGCCTCCATGTCCGAGGATACTGATGGAACTCAGCCCCTGAGCAGGGTGACACCGCACAAGCAAGCGGGACAGCTGCCAAGGACTTGGTACCACTTCCATGAAACAACCACACAATTCAGTTTTTTACTATTCTTCCCACCCAAAAGCTTAAATAAAACAGGGAGAGTGGGCTGGGAGCCCTTGGCAGCATAAACTCCTACTGTGCATTGCAAAAGTAAGATCTGGGGAAGCGAAAAGACGGTCATGATGCGATTTATAATAAAAGGAACTTTACGGTTTAACCCTCGGTTACCACACGTGCGTCCTGTACAGATCGCGCACAGAAAAACCCTTCGAGCCGGGGCAGCGCCCGCTGCCGGGGCTCCCGCAGAGCCAGCCCCGAGGCCCGGACCGCTCCCCTCCGAGGCCGGGCCCAGGTGCAACAACTCCGCTCCCCTCCCGCTGTCGAACCCCCGCCGCCAGACCCGACCGCCACTTACTGCAGGAGTCCGGCCGAGCCCGCTTCCCTGTCCGGCCTGCAGAGGGAAGCCAGCCGGCTGCCTCCGCGCCTCCTCCGGCCGCGGCACGCCTCGCCTTGCCGCCGGCAACTCACCGCCCCCGCCTCGCTCCGCCCTCACGCCAACGGCACCTCCCCGCCCTGCCCGCCGCTTGGCCCGGACTGCGGGCCGCGGCCGGGCCCTGCGGCAGGCTTGCTTGCCTCAGGGGACAGCGCGCGTAGCTAGGCCCCGCTGCCGGGGCCTGTTCCCGCCTCCCGCTCCGGCGCTGAAGAGAGCGGCGTGAAGCCCGGCCCCTCCTCCGGCTCGGGCTCGGGCTCGGGCTCGGGCTCCGGCTGAGCGGGCGCGGCTGCGGCTCCGGACGGGATCGGGCGTTGGGGCTGTTCGCCCTTGCCTTTCAGCCGGGAACTCGTATTTGAATGAACTGATCATCGTCGATTGTGAGGAATTCTGGTGGTGGTTCGCTATCGGGTCACCAGAGGTTTCTTCCTTATGGGGAACAGAACCATTATATTAATATATATTAACGCGCATTTGTTTACTGTAGATCCTTCACTGCTTGCATAGTGGGTAAGTGAACAGTGCAGCAGAGAGAGGACCTTTCCGACACATCTCTTGATCTGTAGTAGAGCTGTACTATTCATAACCTGGATGATTCACAGAGGAAATCCTAGACCAGAAAAATGCTACATCTCTGAGGATGCACCTTTGAAAGAAAAAAAATAAGATGTGCATAACGGATATATAGAAATTCTCGTATGTTTCAGTTGTCCTCTCCAGTGCACATACTGTGGCAGTATGGCATGAAGATGGTTGAGAAATGATGATTCAGCGTCCTTATACACCTGCCAGCTCTTTTACTTCGACTGAAACTTCTCGTGAGACCCCACTGTCCTCCCGATTTCTACCGGGCTTGGCAGAAGCAGTTAGCAGCTAATGCAGCTCCTTAGCAAAGCCAGTTTCCACCTGCAGACAGGCTGCACAGCAGGCCCTCAGGAGCCTACCACAGGGTGACACTTGCCGTGTGACAGAGAGGGAACTTCGGAGCACAAGTGCTGGGACAAGGTGAATCTCAGTTTAGTTTTGCAGCGTAGGGTATTGCAAGCTTGTTTTTCTCTACTGAGAGCTTCCTGAGCTGAAAGCTTCACAATTCTTTACCTCTCCAAAACAGCAGATTCCTAGTCTTTAGCATCCCTGGGCACTTGGGTAAGGCTTGCAAGTTGCTGATAGGGTGATACCGTGAGACATTTTAGCAGGCTGAGAGAGCTGGGGTTGGGGTCTCTCCAGGGAGACCCTTAAAGTAGCCTTCCAGTGCCTAATGGGGCCAGTAAGAAAGCTGGAGAGGGGCTTTTTACAAGGGCAGGTAGTGGTAAGACAAGTGTGAATGGATTTAAACTGACAAGAGCAGAGATCTAGATTAGATATCAGGAAGAAGTGTTTTCCAGTGAGGCACTGGCACGGGTTGCCCAAAGAGGCTGTAGCTGCCCCATCCCTGGCAGTGCTTAAGGCCAGGTTGGATGGGGCTTTAAGCTTGGAACTGGATGATCTTTAAGGTCTCTTCCAACCCAAACCAGTCTGTGATTCTATGATTTTGTATCCCCTCATTCTTCTTTCTGTCCTGTGGTACCAAGTGACAAGACTTGGAAGAGCTGATTCTAAGAGTTAGGTCTCTAACAGTCATCTTTGTTTCTCATCTTTGTTCCCATGCTCCAGGGTCCTAGGGATACAGCTGATATAGGGAGGTGTTTCCTAGGGAGATATAGGGAGGTGTTTCCTGGGGAATCATCTGGAGATTCCTGCCTGTTGCTTCTTTTGCAGTGAGAAAGTGAGGCACACATTAGTGATAAGCCAGGATCTTCCTCCTCCCCCCAAACACATTGTTAAACTTTTAGCTGTGGCTTTTTTCTATGCAACTTTACATTATTAGTGCACTGCAGTTACGGTTCCACAAGAGTTTGGGATCTCCTTTTCCATGAAGGGCAAAACCACAAGCTGATCCTATGACTGTTTATACCCGTAAGCCCATCACAAGTCTGTCTCTGCCCACATACTGCTGTACCAGTTCCCTGTTGCAGTTGGTGTCACACACGCAGGGCTTCTCCACACCCTTTCCACGGTACTCCCTGTGGTTCCCTGCTTTCCAGGCACATGGGGATCAGCAGTTCCTCTAACTGTGCTTCTTGGCTGTCTCCCAGAAACTGCTTTTATTGCTGTTCTTCCGTGCTTACTATTTAGTCAACGTGCTTTATAGGCAGCATGAGACGTGTTTTCTATCAGGCACAGTAAAACAACCTGCTGCTGCCATGAAGGATGGGCCACACCTCCCTCCCACGGTGTCCTTCTGGCATACTCCCTGTTCCTGTCAGCCAGTGAAATGTCAGGAACAGGTCCTATCTGGGAAGGCCATAGGAACCTAATCCCTCCCTCTTGGGTCAGATATAACCAGATGAGCTAAACTGGATGCTGTAATAGCAAGGTATGGCTGTCAATTCTCTAGGTAGCATTTAAAGTCAGTGAACAACTGCAAGGGTTGGATTTCAGAAGTTTTGCGAAGTAAGTGATATTCAGGCCACCAGTGCTGGAAGCAGTTTTTATCCCAGGCACATGGCAGTGCTCTTATAAGGAAATAAGGTCTTGAGTGGCAGCTGGAATTAGTGTATTTAGCAGATACTCAAGCTTAAAATCTACAGGAGTACCTCAGCTGGACAGAATGAATGGACAATGAAAGGGAAAGGCCCAAAAGTGAATTCATTGGTTTTTTTAGGGTCCAGTTTGGTTGAGTTTCAGGGTTTTTTTAGGTTGGGCTTTTTGTTGGTTTGTGTGTGTGTGTGTTTTGTTTGGTTGGTTGGTTTGGGTTAGAGTGTGAGAGGAAGGAGAGTAATTGGACTAAGAAAAAATGGATTTAAATGCAATTTGTGCTGAATAATTTCGGCATAATCTTAACACACACAAGTTCTAGGTGTGAATACCTACCCCGTATATGTGTGTACTAACATGATACTAAATGTTGTTGTTTCATCTGTCTCTAGCAAATATTCAAAACATCATCACAAATTTGTTGCCCTCCCACCCCTCAGGGTTGTTGTCTACCCAGATGTGGCTGCATTGTCAGTATCAATTTACGTAATTTTTCTCAATTCAAAACAAGGCAGTATAAGTGTAAAATGTGTGTACATCCAGTTCCCAAGTAAATATGTTCTGCACCCCAGAGCTTCTGTGTTTCACAAACTCTTCCAAGCCAGGAAAATCTTAAAGGGTAGTAAAAAACGTGAGTGCCGTACTGCTCTTCTCGCATAAGGTAAATCCAAGAATGACTGAAAACTTTTATAAGGATCCCATTTTTCTAGCAATCTCCCTTTCCAGGAGTGGTTCTCTACCTGTTCACATGTTCAGCTACCCTCAAGCAAGGGATAGGCTGTTCTTTCCTCCCTTTATTAGGCTTTTTTAACTACCATTATCTTTTTATCTGAGTTACTTTTCCAGCTGGGTTTTTAACTTAGTTACTGGTTGGTAAACGCTGGTCTTCATAAGTTTGAATAATGACAGATTTTGACAACATTAAACAAAAAAAATTAGATACCTGAAAGTATCACAGAATTCAACCCTCTTGAGTCTGTTTTTTTATTTAATGTCTAGATGAAAATGCTACCTTCTAAGTCTCCGTGCATGTGGCTTGGTCCTTGGGACAAGTGCCAAGACAAGAATTTTAGATGCCTGAAATCATGTGCTCAGCAGGTGTAAATTGTATTCAGGGAGCGTTCACCTTTTCTCTTTAACCCCGAAGGCAGTTTCTCTTCATTAGCAAGGGGAGATGGAGAAAAAGATTATCACCATTGCCTGACTATATGCCAGTGTTATGTATCATAAGAAGAAAATCTGTTCATATGTTCACAAATATGTTTTTTCCTAATCTGTCTTCTGGAAGAAGTCTTTGGGAGGAGCAAGGGGTAAGAATGGCAGGAGACTTGAAATGAAGTGACAGAAACAGAAGCAAAATTTCTCTACAGAGATTTTTTCAAGCAGGACCTGCAGTAGGTCCTCCCATTAGAAAATAACAGTACCTAGTCATGGCCATGATTAAATATTTAGAAGTATTCCCATCTCTGGTTTCTGGTGTCTGGTATCGTTCAGAAATACAACTGTAGTACATCACATGAGATGTACTCAGCCAGTTTGCTGGCTGAGCCAGACTGTATTGCTGGTGTTGAGTCATTTTCCCCCTACCTTGCAACAGATTAAAAAGTCCACGGTGTTTGTGTGCACGTGTATCTGAAAAGAGAAAGAGGCTCATTTTTCTATTAAAACTAATGTGTTACTATCATTATTAAGTCTTATTGTTTGCTGTTATATAAAGGTAACACATCAGGGCTGAGTCACAGAAACAAATGCAAAAAATTGCAGTCTTAAAAGAATAAGGTGACAGGTCACATTCATTGTTGTAGAACAAATGCAATAATTAATTGCCCTCTCCCTGCAGTGGTAGCACAAGCAACTTAACTACTAGAGAGCCAGGCAGTGAAAAGGAGCCATGTGGAGTATCCGTATTCTTCTGGGGCAAACAGCTGAGGTAGGTCTAACAGAGAACATGAATTTCACTGGGAGAGAGAGAGAAGAGAAAGACAGTATCTTATAGAAAGCAAGGCTGCTTGGACTATTTAAGAGTGTTTATTTTCTATTGTTTAAAGATCTTTGTTGTTGCATGAAATATGAAAAACATGATTTATTTTGTCTTCATTTGTGCCAGAGTGAAAGATTATATTCAGAAAATAGAACACAAAAAGCTTTTTGGAATTTGTGCTGTATTTTTTTTTTTCTCTCAGTGACAGGCCAGAATCAGCCCATGTGAAAATACAATTTTATCCAGGTATGTTCTCCATTGAATTGTTTAGGGAAAAGCTTAGAAAACATATTCAAAGACATATACAATCACTTTGAAATCCCTCACCTATATTCCAGTACATAATGAATAGACAGGATTTGGGGCTCTTGTTCCAATGCCTGTTTCACTAGCATTGCTTGCCTGATGGCATTTGTTTGTCACCATTTGAACTGTACATGGGACAAACATTGTCAGGGTGTCCACATGTTCATAAGGAATTTGTGCAGATTGCCAGCAACATAATCAATAGTTGGGTTGGGAAAAGTTATTTTAAATAACCACATATATCATTGTCAGTTTGAGTTTGGTGACCTTTTGTAATCCAAAACTGTTCAGTTGAAAACGAAAGGATATAGGAAAATCCTTAAGTTCCCACATGGCTGATACCTGAAACAAATCAGCATTCCTAGATGTAAATGACTTCCCTTGGTGTCCGAGCCTGTGGATCGGGTATTGTACCCTGGCTTCCTCTTAGCACTATTTTTGACCATGCCAGCCATCCTGCAGCTTCCCCAGAATTTAAGATTGTTGTATCTCATCTGCAGACATATTTTCCCCTGCAGATTTAAATAATTAATTGGGACGTGCCTAGTGGGTCTTGAGATAAACTTAAAAGAGGCAGCAGATATGTGTGACCAAGTGACCTTTTGCTGTCCTGCTCGTCCCTGTGCTCTCACTGTGCTCAAAGGGACGCTGTCAAAATTGCTAGGCCTTAAAACTTTAACCTGCACTGACAAGTTGTTCTACATTATAAGTCTTACCTAAAAGATTACCATGGTTGTTTTGTTTGTTTTGTTTCAACAGTCTTTGCTGAAGGCTCTGCAATATGTATTCATTTGTCCTTTTGGGTAGGTGGATATTTTTAAATGCCTGGCTTATTCCGTGACCTGTTAAAATCAAGTTGATGTGCGTGTACTCCACTCAGTGGAGAACTCACCAGGGATGGTACAGTTTTTCTGCACTCTGGAAGCAGAGACAAGAGCACACTTTGCAAGCCTTTACTGAAGAGGACTTAGAAGCCATTTTGAAAGGCCTGAAGTTATCTTTCATTATGTTGGGGGCCAGTAAGAAGTCTTGGCTAGACTTCTCCAAGTACTATGTATGTGTTAAGCATGAGAAACCGATGATTGGGCAGTTGGTTCTTACAAAGAGGTATGTTATGTTTCAGGCCGGCGTGAATTACTCCTCAGGCATTATTTTTAACAAGATCCTCATTTCATACAGCACACAAAGAGGTCCATCTGAGCAAAGAGTACAGCTGCATTTGTGGCATCACACTTTCTTGGATTTATCTATCAGTATAAGGATTGATGCAACACCAGTTTTAAAGCAGGTGGCTGCACCTGTAACAAATGACATGGGAACATGTGTCCATGTGTGCTAGGGTAGAGAGAATGAGTGATACCCACTCACCCCACCCCAGGTAATCCACACCTGCAATTTTAAGTTGATTTGAGCTGTTTCACCACTGCCTATCTGTCAATCCCTACCTTGTTCCTACTGCAGCCACAGCAGCTGAACTTGGGATGTTTGAGTCCACAGGTGACCCTAAGCTACAGCATCTTCCTCAGAGATACACAGCAGGGTCAACAGCAGACCTGGAGTTCCATGGCTCGGCTCTGCAGCAGCAAAGCCCATGGGAAGGGCCCTGTGTGTCAAGCCTTAGGCAGAAGCATCAAGGTACGAGTCCCTTTAAAGGAGACCCATAATAGAAAAAAATGTATTTGTCCTGTTCTGAGGAATAAAAAGGCCAAAGAAAATCCTTCTTCCTGTAACAAGTTTTGCCTTGTTTCTGGTGAATGTCTGTGGCATCTCCTTAGCTGCCTGAAAGGCTTGAACAAGACCAAACCCTCCCACCCATTCATCAGATACTGGGTAGAAATATACAAAAGTACATTTTAAGCAATCTCACTAAAAAGTAGGTCCCTAGATTCTGTAACCTTATATGAAGTTGGATTCTTGATGCTATTTGAGCCATCTTCTGAACTCCTACAATTACAGATATTTGATGGCTGGCAGCTAGAGACACATTTATTTTTATGAAGTATTTGTATGTAAATTTCAGGTAGTAATTTCACTGGATGGTCCTGCACTGCTCTGCTGTCTTTGCACAGAACATCTCCTTCTGCACTGAGGTTTTTCAGGGAGCATTCTCCTAACCATTGTGATGATTAAGCCAATGATGTCCGAAAGACTGTATCACTGCAACAGGATGCAGGTTCTTAATCAGCTGAACTGATCCTATGAAATTTTCATCAGTTCTGAAGCTCTAGACCACCATTGTCTAATATTACAAGTCTCAATTCTCTCCTTCATTCAGCACTCTCCTACATAGGGTCATTTTAAAAGGGAAGCCAAGTACGAGCCTGTGTCATGAAGTTTGAAAAACAGTTTCCAGAGCATGCTCTAGAGCCACTTTTGAGCTTCTTGAGGCACGTGAGTTGCCAAACTCCTTATGATTTACACAGATCTCTGCAGTATGTCATCCAACATCCACAGATGTTCGTTCCAAGCAGATGCAGGCCATTGTCTCATGGACATGGAAAACTGTTCTCTAAATTATAAACTACAACTGCGAGAATGAGTTTTGTTTCTACCCTGGGAACAAGAGAAGCTTGCTAATAGTGCAAAGTTTGCTACTGTGGCAACAGTCTGCAAAATGATTCCCCAACAAGCAGCAGTTCAGAAGCACAGCATGTTTTGTGAATGACCCTGATCAGCCCAGGAAAGCCGGTCCAAGGACTCTTCTCTCTTACAAATTGCAGCTGGTTCTCACATGGCCATGCAGAGACATCACCGATTCGTCCCTGCCAGCTGACCTTTGCCTGCAGTGCCTTAACTCTCCAGAAAAGAAAGAAATGAGAGAATAGAAGTAGGAGAAGGGGGGAAATAAGTTGGTCAGTGGTTGCTATTACTTCAGCATGACTAACTTTCAGTGACATTAAAATAGTGAATTAGAGTCTTCTCAATATGAATTTTTTTGCTTAACTGCTTTGGGATTTCTGATTCTACACTTGTCTGGGAAAAACAGTTTTTCAAGGCTGACAGATGCAACTGTAAGCAATAGCCTAAACAATAGTTATTATCTGAAGTATTTACTGTGTTTCCTCCTGCCAGTGGAAAGGAAGAAGTTGCAATTAAGCTTAGGGAAGGGAACTGTGGTGCCGTTGTTGTGGGCCCATGTTGTTCTGGGCTGCAGGTGACTGGGAAATACTGTCCCTCGTATTCAACTGGCTGGTGAGCAAATTGCAGTTTTGACTCTCTTTCTAGATGCATTAAGCACACAAGTTTTGATCAGCTTCTGCTTTGTGTGTGCAGGAAAATTTCACCCTTTCCACAAACTGAATGTGTGGTTGGGAAGAGTTCGGTGACTGCCGCAGGACTGGTAAGCAGGCAGGAGACCCCGTAGGGAAGCTTTGGGTGTTAATGTATGTTCACACAGGAACCTGGAACATTATCTGTAGTGCCAGATAGAGACAGGTGTTTACTGAAGAAGAAAACACCTCTTCTGCAATGATTGGTGGTAGGTGGCCATTCTCCCTGAAGTGTATGTTAAGCACAGCTGTGCTTCTCATACATACATTTTAGTGAATGTGAAATGCCTGGGATTCTGTGATTTTATGATGGGTGTATTATGCAGTTTCCTAGGTTTTTTTGATACTCTACAGGAATAAAGTAGATAGACACTGTTCACTTTCTAAGACATTTTTTGGATGATCGATTGAGGTATGCAGGGGGCCTCCACGAATATGTAGAGGGCACGCATTGGTGGTTCAGTGGTAGAATTCTCGCCTGCCACGCGGGAGGCCCGGGTTCGATTCCCGGCCAATGCAGCTTGCTTTTGATTTCTTTTTGTTTGTTTGTTTTTTTCTTCCTTTGGCTTTGTGTTTGGCAGAAAGGCCGCTGCGGCGGGAGCGCTTTCCTTTCGTTTTCCCCGCGGGATTCCCCACCGGGAAGACGCGCCGCCGTTTTCTTCCTTCGGGGAGAAGGGTTGAGAAAAAAAAAAGTAAAGAAGGGAAAAGAAGCGCCTGGAGATGCCGGGGATTGAACCCGGGACCTCACACATGCGAAGCGCGCGCTCTACCACTGAGCTACATCCCCGGCTGTAGGGCGTTTTTTGCCGGGCGCTATCAGAGGTAGGCAGCCTTACTGCCCCTGCCGCCCCCACTCACCCACCCGCCCGTGTTCCCTTTCTTTATGTAGCTGCCTCCGGCGTTTCAGGGCTCTCCCAGCACGGCGCGTGGCCGTGGACTAAAGCGACCAGCCGCGCGGAACGGGGCCCGACAGCTGCACAAGGCCCGTCCTCGCCTGCGGGGGAGTACCTGCCGGAAAAGCCCCTCCCCTCCCCGCAGTCCGCGTTTTAACGTCTGCGCTCCTCCTCTGTCTCTGCCTCTCGGTGCCTGACTAGTATCTGTACCCCAGACTCCCTCCGGGACCCCCGGAGGCTTCAAAGGGACCGGAGCACGCAGCTAGGAGGGAAGACCCTGAAAACCTGCCTAACCTGCCTGCTTCTTCAGTGCATTTTCGTTAATCTCAGATTTTTCTAAGAAATCTAAACTTTCAAACTGCCCAGTAGGAGATTACTTACTGTGACACAAAATGCACCTCTTCTAGGATATTCTTCCCATCTAAGTATGAACTTGGCAGGTGTAGAGGCCTGATACTCAAGGAAAAGCAACCCAGACAGGTTCTCTTGGTTGCATTACTCAGTAAAACCAGCAACTTCCACTAGCTTTATTGGGAGCTACCTGGTCCTGCTCTCCACATTTATTTTCAGAATGTAAGCACAATCTCCCTGAGATGTGCTGCTCTCCCCTCTGGATGCTTCTGTCCCATAACACATAATACTATGGTGTGTTTGATGTCCACTCTTAGAAGAAGGCGCCACAAGCAGCTGTATCTGTTTCAGGGGACCTAAGGCAAGGAGGACCCTTCACCATTGAGCATAGTTCCTTTTATGTACCCCGTCTAAACATTCATAACCTCAGTGACTCATGGATTTCCATCCTGTCAGGAAGCAGCATTTAACAGCCTGGCTTTCTTCAAAACAGATTTTTAGCAGCAGCTTTTGAGGAGTTACTGAATTTGATTTTCATAATTAACACAACACACAACCTGTTTGATTTGTCTGTTAAGACAAAGCACAGAATAGCAGTAGCTCTTAACGAGGCTGAGCCAAGGGTGCAGAGTAGGTTAATACCAACCACAGCAATAAAAACACAAAGCAATTTAAAACCTTCTCTTCCTTTTTTTCCCTCTTTTTGTTTACCTTTCTGTAGACCTCAGAATAGTAGAAAATGAATAATACAGATATTACTATGCCTTTATGGCTTTCTCAGCTGTGATGGACAGTCAGTCCAATTGTGAAACTTCCCATGTGGAAGGTGGATCAAGGCAGAGCACATTCAAGCTGCTGAGAAGAGCAGCTATGAAAGCATATCACCAAGTATTTAATTACTATCCCCATGAAACCAATACAAGAGCTTATGTGCTGCCTATATTAAAGTGAAACAACGCTTCCATTGCAGCTAGATCTAAATATCCCCTGGACCATCACCTACCTAATACAGAATAAATTGAATTATTCAAGCAAGACTCAACTGGTGGATGCTACGGGAGAAAATAAGATGGCTCACAGTGAGCTGTAAAGTAAAAAGTGACCCACAGATGGCTATAAATCTACTCAATTATAAGGCCAAGCCTACCAGAAGTGCACATTCTTTGAACTTGAGGAAAAGAAATTGACCCGTTTTGGTTCTGGACAGTGGCAATACAGCTCCCAGTGCCGCCACATGCACATCTCATGATCCTTCAGCTGTCGCCCACAGCTGAGGTCTTGCCCAGATGCCTAGAGGCAGCTCCGGTTCCAGGAAACACTCTTCTCTTGTGCCCAGCAGTTTTCAGTGCTACGGGATGCAGGGCACAAGTTGGACATTCAGCTTTCTCCAGAGCTCCCTCTGAAGACTACATTCACCTCTTTGTGTTTGGGTTTCTCTGCTGACATCAGGGAAAAACAATGTCACTGTTATCTGGCAGCTCCTCCGCATTCCTTGGTGGGATTAACTCATTCCTGGTACCTCAAACCTCAGGTCTTTCAGGGAGGCCTGCCTCGTCCCCAGGGTGTTTTCATTGAATCTGCTCATGTTTTCGCATTTTTCATCGATTCTCGTTAGATAAATGCTTAAACTCACTCTGTATTTTCCACAGGAATTTTTCTCCAAGCTAATGGATTTCTGAAGTCTAGCCTGAAAAGAGTTCTGTTTCAAAGCAACCTCATGTACGCACCACATACTGATCACAGTGATATTCTGAACAGACATATAGGCATTTCTACATTTCTTTCTGTTACAGGTTTCTAACACTGAACTTCTTCCCAGGATTAAATGTTTGCACTCAAAATTCCATCTTAAAATAGGCACTCTTATTCAGTAAAATACAGCAGCAAAGCATAGCAGTATAAACCAAACATGAGGAGTATTCATTTCCTGAATGCAGCCCAGCCGCAGGCATTCACTGCCCTGCACCATCCCAAATTCCTCTGCCTGAACAAGGTCTCTGCTCCCCTGGGAGCATTTTCCTTCCCCCTGTCACAGCTGCTACAAGGCTGGACCAGGCCTGTGGCAATGGCATCAGCCATTTAGAAATAAACAACTAAAGTTGTTTTTCTTCCATCACACAATCGTATCATCCATTTGTTTGAAGTATCCAAATGAAGCAGTGCAAAATATTCACGAATCTCTTACATCATTT